TATAATTGGTCATCATTATAATGAAACAACATCTTTTAGCTGTCATCCTCGTTCAGCATCTTTCCGATTTTTTTCTATTTGATCTACAGTACCGGTCGATGACGTTTTTTTTATTTCAACTGTTTGCAATCACAGGGTTTCTAATTGTTATGCTCTGCTTCATTAATTTATTTTTCAGCTAATAAAAATTATATATAGATTGATACGTTAAAATCCAACAAAGAAGAGAATGATAAGACATATCTGCAACTCAATTTGCGCTATATTCACATCTACGCTATTATCGATAGAACAAATCCATTTGAAAAGAACTATTTGTTGGACTCGATGTTCGAAAAACAACCGGCTCATGAGATTGTGAGATGCCCCAGACCTAGTCTGGTGGTTTATACTTTCATGTCCCAAGATAATCGCATTCCATCCCGTCTATATGAAGATATGGCGAAATTGAACTCAGCTGGTATGACATCTCAGGAGAACCTGGTGAAAAGTGAGAATGATAGATATGAAAATGAAAACTTTTCTTGGTTATAGAGCGTATACTGTCATGTTATAAAAATTAAAAACAGAATTCCGCTCAAGCACACCAGCTAGAGCAGACTAGTTGACCATTGGTATTATCAAGTGTGCAACCGTTTCCCGCCCCCATCGAAAGCGTTATTGATGTGCTGATGGCTGACCCCGATTGCGAATTGCAGACGCAAGTGATGACACAACCATTGCTCGTAGTGGTACACGAGTTGCAGGATCCACTGTAGCTTGATGCAGAGCATGTATGACAGTTGACATCTAAAATAGCAACAGTCATTCATTAGGATGTGGATGGTAGCACCTACGTAGTGCCACGGTTATTGTTGTGCCGTTTTCGTTCATTATAGCACTTGTTCCTGAGTCTCTCAGAAAGCAATAAACCAACAGAGTGAAACACCAAATGAAAATTTCAGATCGATCCATGAAACTATAACTGAATGGTAGACTATTCAATGATACTCCGCACTTTTTTGCGGATCCATGTTTCCAGCAAAAGCGGTTTAGTTTGTCAGTGGCCTGATGAACTTCGATGAAGTTTATATAAAAAATAATTACAGTGCAAGACTGCAGAATGAGGCGTTGAACGACCCTACAATTTAGATGTTACCTCTGGCCTACACTATCTATGGACTAACTGAAGAAAATTTTCCAGACGTTTGGCTCTCATCGAGACTAAAATCCTAGAAGTCGGATACATTTAGTCAGTAGTGTGCTTATACTAGTATAAGATCATTTTGCTTTTTTGGACACTAGCTGAAGCCTTATCTACAGAACCCGCAGTTTCATTAAAAAATTGTGAGTACTGCGTAGATTTATCAACTTTTTTCAAGAAAAAGATACTCGATTGACCAAAGTACAAAAGTAGTGTAAGCTCAATTAAGAAAGCCATTTGAACTTTAAACAACTGAAAGCCATTGGAAATGCGCGATTTCGCTTGCTGGTATGACGTTCCTCTACTTTTCGAGCTGTATGAAATGCAACTTTCACTTAGATTGACTATTTAGTCTATTACCTACCGGTAGTAGTAGTTGTCGATGTCGTCGATGTTGTTGCCGTTGTTGCTGTTGTTGCCGTTGAAGATGTTGTCGACGTTGATGATGATGCTGTTCCATTATTATTGTCGCAACTTCAAACTCTTGATTTATTTAACAAGTCAATTCATAGTTCGCATCATTGATGAACTTTCTATTATCGTTAATGTTGAAGCTAAAATAAAAGCATCTAGTACACTGCTTTGGTGAAAAAAAATGTCAAACATGATGTAGCTATCATTTGTTCTTTGAAAAAGAATCTAAATTAAGTATTGAGTGTGAGTGTAGGTGATAGAATTGTTCTAACACGCTCACACCCAAGAAATTTTATTTTCGTCCCAAACGCTAACTTGCGATATCATGACTTGAAACCAAAGGCAAAATATTTAGTTATGTTTTATACAAAGTAAGAAATACAGCAAACGAATTGAGACTGTTTCTGTGATTTCATACTACACATCTTTTTCTATATAATCAGTTCTTTTTGTGCACACAAAACCATTGAAGTTTCTTTTCAAAAGATGATTGGATATATAGTGCCTTGAATCAACTCGTAGAATAAACAAGAACATAATTATGAAACAGTCTACACAACGATTTTTTAATTTATTCAGCAACTGCCTCAATTGAAAATCACATAATAGTGAGCTGCTGTCGCATCACCGCTGATTTTAGTGGAAGTCTTCTACTAAAAGCAAGAGGAAGGCAAAGCTACTCTCGAAAACAAAAAGGTGTCATATTGAACAATATACCCATTCTTGGATCCTGGCAAATCTAGTAGGAACCAATCGTGGCCGCCAGGATCTGGAAGGAGCTGACATACTCAATTCGAGTCCACTAGAAACCAAGAATTCACTTTTTCTGCACATCGAAAACGCGTACTTCGCTAACCGACGCAATGCTGGCAAAACGTAGAGAAAATCTCCATAGTCAAACTGACCATTTGAATCATTTCCCGTTCTATCGACACGTTCTCATCAGCTAGAATACTGTTGATATTGGCACCAAAATAAATAAGCCCATGGCACCTCTTTCATATCCTCACAACCAGCATACGCTTTCACGCTAAGAGTGACGATCGATTTGCATCATCGAAAGAACCTACAGCAAGATATATATAATTATGAGTTTAAGAATTTTAATAATAAAATTTTAAATATCTAAAACAAAAGAAAATAATATGAACCTGATCAAGCTGTTTTTAATACTAAAGGCTTCTTAATAGGTATAAAGCAAATGTAAACTTTGTTGACTAAGTCGCTTAAAACCTTCATAAATAAATAGCAACACAATTATTGCAGAAGTCAATAGTCTAATAAGGAAAAATAGTTTAGATTTAACCAATAAGCAAATTAACAGGCAAAAATTCAATCTAACGGGTGCCCCATAATAAATAGCCGGGTTTCTCACCAATGAAAGTATCTAGAGCTTATCCATATTTTCCACTTATTTATACATCATGTATTTGGACTGTTCACAATCTACATAAATGCAAAAGATCAGCTCGATAAGTGCTTTTTAGATTCAATTAAAATTTGAAGTCTAAAGATATACGAAAAGTAGTACTGCGAATGACCCATGACGGTATGTCATCGCTACAAATTGCTAAACAACTACGAAAAGTGGTCAGTGAGCGAACAGTTAGGCGATGGCAACATTTGTATAGAAGCACCGATACAATTGATTTGAAAACACCTGCTGGTATACCCAGAATTATACGAACAAAAAGTCTTATTCGAAAATTCAAGAATAGATTTATTTGCAAAGGTCGATAAAGTGCAAGGAAATTAGCTAATTCACTTGGTATTTCGAAGGGGTCAATTGGTCGCATTATTCATGAGGACCGTCATTTACATGCTTATCGTGTTACAATTGAGCCAAATCTAAATGATGAACATAAACAACGAAGAGTATCATTTACATATTGGGTAAGAAGGTTTTTAAGAAAAAAAGATCGAGAAAAAATCTTATTTACTGATGAAAAGTACTTTGAATAAGGTGGCATTTTCAATCGCCAAAATGACCGTGTTTATGCTTCCTCTCGACACGACGCTGATGAACACAAAGGAACAAACCGACGGCCAAGTTTCCAAAAAAAACTTCTGGTATGGCTTGCAACATCGAAAAATGGTCTTTCACTTCCAATTATTTTTGAGCCCGGTGAAACGTTAACACATGAAAATTATATTGAAATTGTTTTGCCACATGCACGAGCTGAAGGTCAACGATTATTAGGTGATGATTTTATTTATCAACAAGATAATGCAACACCACACAAGCATAAAGATTCAATAGCATGGATTAAGAAAAACTTTCCTCGGTTCATCGATGTAAAAAATTGGCCGCCTAATAGTCCAGACCTCAATGTTCTTGACTATTATATGTGGGACGCTATAGGTCATAATATGCATTGGGATAAAGTCAAAAGGTATGATTCATTAATTGATGAAATAAAAAAAGGTATAAGTAGTGTATCAAAAAATGACCTCCTTCGCAGTGTTCAAAATTGGTCAAGTAGATTTTTTTCTATTTTGAAAACAAAAAGTGCTTATATTAGATAAACTTTTTTGTGCAGGTTATAGTAGTAACTATGTTGTGTGTTATGCCATATTTTGATTTAAAATAAAGTTTGTCAGATATTATAAAGATTAAGAGTAAAAACCGGCCATTTATTATGGGGCACCCGTTAGATTTGAGTCACTGATATCATTCCGAAATAAATACTAAATGATAACACAATTTTCAATATTAGAAAAAGGCAAACCAAAGACAATATTGAATTCATGAGTATTTGTGAGTAACTCATTCATGAGATGTTACTATATCGCTGAAAATTTATTACTTTTTAAATGATGTTATCAAGTGCTAACACAGAACAAGATACTATATTATACTTTAAATTTTTGCTAAAGAAAGTACTATAATCTGAATTTTACGATTTCGTACTGTAGATATGAAAAGCTCGAATTCTTATGTAAGTATTCGAATTCAATGAAATCCTTTCAGTTCGATAAAATAAGCTTTCGTTTGATCAGACCAATCATGATGAAATTGTAAAAAATTGAAATGCTACCTTAATGTTTAAACGGGTGATTAGCCGTAATTTACAGACAATTAAATGACACCGATTGACTATTTTTTTCTTTCCAGTAAAGTAGTAAAGCTACTCTAAGTTTATGTTCAACAGGCTGCATGCAAGAATGATCCACCTTAGTTCAAGCAGCTTGCGCTGGAACCATCTTCATGAAAAGGGTTCAGCATTATATAAAAGGGTGCGATATAGAACTTTTTAAATATTTAAAACCATTTTTTATTTGTGCAGTTTCTATAAATTATGCAAAACCTTCGACAGGTCTGTGATGAATCAATGGAACCCTTAAAAGTTCAGCATATTTTCTAAAACCATGAATAGTTACACATGACATCAACAAACCTACACCACCACCCCCAGAAAGTATGAATGCAACATGATACGTACCGAACAAAACCTATGAGGCCTATATTAATAGATCGTGTTTTAAAAGTTGACAAATATATTGGAATGACTAGAATGGCAGTTATTTGTGGCAAAAGAAGTAGGTCTCATACAATTACACGTTTCTTTTATATATAGTACGCGGAGAATCATGAAAACAAAAACGAGTAACAATAAGCATAGACAGGTCTATTACAGTATTCACTTCTATTATTCAGAATTATAGTCTTTCAACTACGCTCTGTTATCTGTCCTGGAACTGTTTATGGGTCTGTCTATTCATTGTGCGAGTCGTATCATGTAATGATATTTGATTAGTGCAATCATCAGATATCGGGCGCACTTCAATCTTACATCGGATTCGACACATTTTTCTCATGAATCGGACAGTTTCACTTCGGTAGATACTGCCCGAAAGGATGTAAACAGCAAAGGTCGTAGTATAAGTAAGATAATATGGTAGCGCTGCAATTTTGTAGATAAAGTAGTATATAGATAAGCTGAAGACTTGAACAGGCAAAAATCCCATAATGTAAATTGTGGCAAATGGTGCACAAAGAATGAAGTGAGAGATCACTTGAAGAAGAAGCATACGAATAAGTTGACCTTCGGTACGACGAAAAGACGAGGTAGAATCAGGAAGGGCACGAACTTGCTTGGTATTATATATGGTCATAAAACCAAATATTGCCATCAAAATCGGCGGGATAACGCCTACAAGCAATGCTTGAATAATTGGGTACATGCGGCTGCACAGTGTAGTGACGCGAATACTACAAGTAACTGTTACACCTATCTGCAAATCCATCAAAACGAATGTGCTAAAGTAGAAAAGTGTGAATACGATCAAGACAATTGTGATTGCCCAAAGTGCTACAGTAACATTGCTGAATTTTCGTCTTCCAGCATCGAATGAACTTGCGCAAAATCGATCGACTGAAGCGAGTATAACTAATTGAGGTGACACAACAATGATTACACCTATGACATATTGTATGGATTTACAACAATAAAGGCAGGTAGTCGACAGATCGTTTGAGTATCCGGAAGCCAAGAGACGAAAAGTGAGAAAGATGATCGAAAATAAGAGATTATCGATGGATTGAGCGAGAAAATAACGAGAGCACGCATGATTGTAAAGTTTAGGTCTTGTAAGCACCATAATATTCAGCGAGTTCCCCACAATTCCAATTACCATAGTTGGAGGTATGAACACTCGTACAATTGTAGCAGCGAGTGGAGTGAGTGGATCAGTCATTGTTTACCGTCTGTTCTTTCGTTGTTGAATGCACAACGTTTTCTCTTATAAAAGCTTGGTGACTGTCACTCTACCACGATCTATAATAAGACGTCCAGTAAATACAGCGATAAAGATTTGTTTGAGAAAGAAGAGGAATTAACTCAGTCTAAGACGGAGAATCTATTCAAAAAAAGATGTTCTGTTAATTAACACCTAGAAATGAAAATGTAACTGCGCAGTTCCTCTCATTGTGTTACTTTTTAATATTTGCATGATTTAATGGTGAATTTGATTGTGTACTGGAAATAGACTGAAAAGGGAAATGTCGAAAAATAAATATTGAAATGAAAACATATAGAAATAAGTGGTGTCTCCAGTTGCCAGCATCAGAAAAAAACGCATTTCTTGCGTGATTGAACGCGTTATTCCAAAATGTTGTGTGCTTGTGTAATGCTTGTTCAAAATCAGGATTAGTGGAGTTATAGAAAAAATAATAATGAACTGAAGGTTTTTATAGTCACTATTTATTAGAGAAACCACTTATTTCGATATTTATTTTTCGACCTATTTCGAACACACCTTCTAACCAATCTATAAGTTTTGCACACATTAAAACAATCACAACACGAGGTGAACTACGCAGTTATATTCAAATTTTCTAGTTGTTAAGTAACAACAGATTTTTTTTTTAAATAGATTATCTATCTTAGGTAGATATAATTACTGTTCTTTCTCAAACAGATATTTGTTTGGTTCCGTTATAGATCTTGACTTTATTTAGATAAGTAACTTAAGCTTTCACAAAAAATAACAGCAAAACAAAGGATCGTTCATCTATATACATCATATTGATGGGAAGAATAATTTCATAAATGTAATGATTGCGCCGATGATGAAGACTAGATTAATCAAATAAATACCTGGAATCAAAATATAATAGCGTTCATCCACTTCATGAACAGCCATTATCATAAATGGACACTTATGAATAACATGCGGATCAGTTGGCCGATTTGTCTTGAGAAAAAAATCAGAGACATTTTTATCTCGAGTTAGAATATACTTGTCTGACATAGCAGAATATTGAATACATCTTGATGCATAAATACCACAAGAGTTGAGTCAACGAGAGGCAATCATATGTATATTAATTTCCCTATGACACGTATAAAAATTAAGCCAATCAGCAAACCACGTCCTAAGTACACTTTGAGAATCATGTATCAACGATGTTATAGGAAATGAATAAAAGATTAAAACGTAAAAATGGTGTTGATTCAGGAATAACAGAATCCCAACAATAAATATATATGCGTATCATTTCGCAATATATCTAGATGAAAGTAATATTCTTGTAATTTCGAAAAATAAAATGATGATTCATTTGGAATAAACTGACTGTTTCGATAAATAATAATGGTGAAGTTGTATGTATATCATACATGAAAAATATTTGTACTAGTGAGATAATCTGATTCAGTATCAAATGAAAAGTAATTACTTTGTTGAGTCAATTGGATTAAGTGTTCGACTTCTTGTATAGTGGTGCACATAATAATAAAATAAATATCATATCGATAAAGTGTATCATATGCAAAATTAATCTTCTTTATTTTTTCTACGACGTTGATTTTTGAACATGGTTGATGAATATTCGATATGTTATGAGCATTTAGACTCAATAACATGTAATGAAATAATAACATAACAGAATAATAATACTAAATCAATAAAGAAATAGTTTAGTTAATATATCACTGCATAATATTGTAAGATCACTAAATATGATAACTAACGTATAAATCAATAATGCTGTAGAACATAAAGAAAATAATATAACCAATATGTTGGTTGAGCTCTAAATAAATCCTGAATGTAGGGTGTGGGTGTGAGTAGACGAAGAGCTTCCCACCCCAACCTCAATATTAAGAGAAATCGTTTCCTTGTTACAAATGTTGTAGTTACTTGCAGTGAGTCAGGTAAACTGACTAATGGGACGGTCAGCACAACGAAAATCTGTACGCCGAACTGAAGCACTTGAAACGTTTAGAAATTCTGAAGAAGGCGCCGTCGATGATTCAGACGCGTGACGTATACTACAATCGTTCATTCAAATATCGAGTTCGTTAAATGTACTATCATGTACTGATGTACGCCTGAAATGTTCACTTGGCACAGAGAAATAACACCATCAAGATCAATTCACTGGTCTACAATCAGATATCATCTCCGAAGTTTTACTCGATGATCAAATAAATCTGATATCAGTCTGATTATTTGAAGACTAGTCCAGGTGCTTTGCGAAATGTGAAGCAGATCTGCTTCTCCTTCGATGGCAGTCGTTGTCACCCACAAAGGCATACAGACTCGACTCCCTTTATCAATGCGCGTTCTGTGACAAAGTACTGTTTCTAGAACCCTTTTTGAACGTTATCACTTTCATTGAATTCTGAAAAAAAGAGGAAGTGATTGTGCTGTTGAGTTTTCTTATTTTATTCAATAAAAGTGGAGTAAAAACCCTTCAACGTCGTACATGACTATGCGATGGAATAAGGAGAATATAATTACGTCTAGAAACATCAAGAGAATGTAAATTATGAATGATAAAGTTAAGTTTAAGTTTAAATTGAAAATTGAGTTCAACTTCATTTCTTTTAAGGTTACTTTACCACCCTCAATGTAAACACAACACTTGCAAAAAGAAAAACATCATTTAACGCACTTTTTGGCTTATGCAAACTTTTGTGTATAGAAAGTAATGTATCTCCTGAATGAAAGACGATTCTGGTCTGAAACTTTTAGGATACAGAGTAGATCTTTACTACTATTTACAAAATAAATATCAGTCTTCTGCGACTTTTCTAGACAGAATTATAATTTTTATTGAAACGTACACGTTAGAAATTGATGTAGTAACACACCCATCGACACTACTGATAGTAAGAAAAATTAAAAAAGCGAGGAAAATACGAATGCTCCGTCTTCAGTTTTCTCTGGGTTATTGTATAAATGTAATATTGTTTCTATAAGAATCTAAATATTCAATTGTCATTCGACTTGGAAAGAATTTCTGAATATTAAAATAACATGAGTTTAATGATTGTTTCCATGACCAAAGTTCCACGCTCCAATCACTTGCCAATACTCTCTCTACAGTATCAGAAAAACTCGTTTGATTCTTGTTTCTATTTCCATCACCAGTAACCAAAACAAGAACTTGTGATCTCTGAGTATTGTTATAACTATGAAGGATAGTTAAAATTTGAGCATGCAACATATCGTCCACGAACACTTCCTAGAAAAAAAACGAAAAAGTCATTTTAGGGTAACGGCGATCTATAATATGACTCACTGGGCCATTCTTCGAGCGCACTCCCAGTATACATTTATAACCACAAGATTCCCAATCAGTCCAAACCTGTGCATTATCCCGTGGTATACTTTCATCAACACTTCCACCAACAATACGTGATTTAATACATATTTTTAATTTACCGTCTTCAAGTACTCTTACAAGATTCTTAACATTTACACGAATAGCTGAATTTTTTTGATTTAATCCAGTTTTTGGATCACGTATAGTTTGAGAACCAATAAATATATTTGAATTATCAACAATAATATGATAGTCTGTCGATATAAAGGATGGCGTAATCTAAAGAACATATTTTGAAGATACAAAGAGCAAAGCTTGTTAGCGCATCCTCTTTAGTGCTAATAAGTGGAACTCACGTATGAGTTTTCGTCTGATTCTACTAATGCACAATAGATAATTTATAAAACAGAGAGAGAGGTCGACCAGTTCAGTTCTTCCGAAAAGAACTGGTTAGGAGATGCAAGTACAGTTCTCAGTTCTGAACTGTCAAAAGTCTATGTTAAATTCGATTCGATTTAATATAATGTTTGAATAGCTTTATTTGATTCTATTCAGCTTCCATTAAACCGGAGCAAAAAGATGTTTTGCACCTAGAGATTCTATAATTTTCTTGATAATTTTGTCTCCTGATAATGACGGCAGTGGATGTAGGCGTAGGGATTATTGCTTCAGCTATTATATTGATCTTGATTGACCCGCGCATGCCCTCAAGCCAAGGGGGGAAAAGCGCGACTCCCGTACTCCAGCGGACTCCCTGTACTCCCAGACGATATGATAACTGTGCTTCAAAGACTTTTAGCAATTTTAAGTCTACTATCCACCTGTGTTGCGGTATANGGGCTCTGAGCAGCAAAACTTCGCCTTTAAACTTACATTCACTATTTTCTACGAAAATGTATGAGTTCCATGAAATGGAGTTGTCGAAATATGTTAAATAGAAAAAAAACAGAAATGGAATATGTAGAAGAATAAACTATCGACAATTTTTAAAGGTGTTAATAAATAAATGTCAATGGACGAAATGAAAGATCAATTTCGACGTTTAGGAACAGTCATGACAACATCAGTGGATGTATGGTGTTGTCCCGATTCAATTATGTTATTTTCATGAGGCTCATCGATGAACAGATAATAATTCAGAAGGTGGGTAAAGTACTTTTCTCTATCTATTTTGTTCGAAAATTGTACTGTCATTACATATTCCCTAGACTGAAAGGTTAGGGTCTAGAAACCGTAATTCACCTGTGTCTGTCCGTCTGTCTGTCTGTCTGTCTGTAACAATGACACAATTGACCGTTCGTGTGGCAGAAACGACCATTTCTGTGGCAGAAATGACCATTCCTATGGCAGAAATGACCATTCCTATGGCAGAAATGACCATTTCTGTGGCACGAATGACCATTTCCATGGCACAAATTACCATTTCTATGGCAGAAATGACCATTCCTATGGCACGAATGACCATTTCCATGGCACAAACGACCATTTCTATGGCAGAAATGACCATTTCTATGGCACAAACGACCAATTCTCATGGCAAAAACGACCATTTCTATGGCAGAAATTACCATTTCTATGGCACAAACGATCAATTCTCATGGTACAAATGACTAGTCGAACGGTACAAAATGGGCATTTCTGTTGTACAAATCACCATTTTTATGGCACCTAGGGCATTGTTACGGCACTAACCATGGGCGGCTGCATGAGATGGTCACGGGAAACAGTCCGCTCTCGATATGTCTTGAGTGGAGGGGTGAACTGATCCCCCTACGGAACTTTGAGCTTACCATCACGAAATTTCTAGATTGTGTATTTTTTTGGCTAGGTAACACTCAACCTCTCCGCCGATTTATGCGTCTTTGTGTACCATTCTGTCCGTTTTCGTCTTTACTTTTAGCGCTTTTACTTGAAACCTTTAATTTTCGTCTAATTCTTACTTCAGTTTCACTTATTCCCACCCCGTTTACACATCTGTTTAAAAATATCACCATCAGCTACTGGCACAAACAACCGATTTTCTGTCCTGTCCATGCATTTCTTCTCGTCAGCACTGTCAGTCTAGGGCCCAGTGAATCGACTTTCGATGTCGATGAACGTTACTTGTGTTTTAGTGTGCAATATTCGATTTTTAACTTGATAATACAGAAAGCTCCTGAATATTTGAAGTTTTATTCACCTGACATAAAGTGAACCACGTATGTAGAAGTCGAGAAGTTTGACTACAATGACTATCTTCAAAATCAGAGCACGAAAAATGAGAGTAAAAACATTTTATGCACTGGAAGTTCTCAATGGATGATTAGTACACAATTCAAAGTTCTAATATTTGATCAGCCACTCAGTCTAAAGTTCGAATACAAGTTATCAAATTGAACCGAATTTTCGAGTTCTACGCTACTACGATATTTTCTGCTCTAATATTTATAAAACCCAGTGTTAAATGAGTGTTGAAGTGTTTAAGGGTAGACATTAAATCTCACTCCTCCTCCACAGACTGGGACATACAGACTAAATAAACTTATTATTATTAGTAGGTATCTTAATTTATCATAATCCATTAGTAGCTTTAATCTACGTTTTTCAAAACTTTTTTTACGAAAAATCTATCATTTTTTCATAAATATATGCTATTTTACAATGTCGACAGCTATACAATGTTTCATATTTGGATGTCGCAGGGATTGTGCGGTATAAGTTCTTTACGTGTGTCTCTTTTGATGTTAGAAAGACTGAAAAAATAACGAACTTTCTATGATTATATTACGGACAATTAATATGAGGATCGGACAAGTCCAGTTCTAGTTCGAATCTGAGAAGTTATTCAAGTAGATTAGACCTCGCCATATAAGCTCTTAATTTCGTTCTGTCTCAGGAATTCCCATGTTGTTAAAATCGCGATCAAATGACGATTTTACAACAAATTCGGTTGATTCATAAGAATAGTTTTTTTCTTCTGTTAGAATCAATTTTGACTACAACGTGAAAAGTACGTTTTAACCTATGAAAATTTCTTTTTCCCGTAAATAGATTATTGTTAACATCGAACCAAAAAGTAAATTTTGCTTTGATCCACATTAATCTAATGTCAAAAACGAAAAAATATAAAATAATGCGTTTTTCATTTATTTATAGATTGTCTCAGCAGCAAAACTAAAAGTGAGTATTACTTTATGATATTGAAGAAGGTTTTTTGCATTTTGCGATGGATGGGAGAAGAAATTATGTCTGTCACCATCTGGTAGAAATCGATGATAATGCGATGGTGACGATGCGTATACAGACGCTACCATCATCCGTCGACATACACTAATAGCCCCGAACCAGGGCGATAGGAATGGGTTCCACAAGTGGAAATGTCGTTTGTATAATCGTGATGTTTTGCAAAAATCGTCGATTTGGTCGATTCCTCGCTATACATCGGTCCTATAAATAGCTACGCCTTAAGCAATTCCGATAAAGTGGGAATCGTACTGAATTTATAACCATTCTGCATTTAGACACGCATTTAAGCATACTTTTTACAATTATGAAAATCCTTCCTATAACTAATGCTGATTAATAATTGGGTGATGTGTCTCATAGATTTTCTGAAAACGCGTTTAAAATGAAAGTGTAGAAGATAAAAAGAGATATTCAGTATATGACACATACTAAAGACTGAGAGTGCATACACATGTAGCATCGTATTAGAAAAAGTTGTCATAAAGGCTGGTGCAGTAACTTTGAAAATTTCCCAGAATATTCATGCCTTATGAAGTATTCAAGAGATAATGTTTTTCATATTCAAGAAAATCTTATATCTTTCACGTCTACATCTAAAGGTGTTTTCAGGAAATAAACAAAACACATATAATCAATCGTTCGAATGCATACGTACTGGCTTTGGCAGGAAAAGAGGCGGACCTATAAAGTTAACAACAAATTTTATTGTAGTTTGTAATCACAGTAAAAATTTACCGCCAGAAGCTGTTGGTGGAGGTTCGGCTATTTTTTTAAATACGATCGGTTGACCACTGGTCGTATCCGATGGAACTTGTTCTTCAGGCCCCAATGGCTGATTGCGATAATAGGCTTCGTATAAATCTCTGTCATTTTGTCCTTTGAATACCACTTGTTTTAGATCTTCAATGTCCATAGTGGAAGTGGATTCTTCTCTTCTGACCGCTCTTTCTTCAATTTTCACCCAAACCTTTAATTCAGTTGGATTGGGACGAAGGGTTTCGCTTGGTCCTGAAATATAGAAACAGAATGTCAACCGATGAAAGGTAATCATGTCAACGTTCGCTTTAGTAATGGTGAAGCCAGAAAAATGGTAGGCGAATGGCATAGATGAAACTGGTATATTACCGGTCTCAATTTTCAATTTTTCTGCTTTTATCGCAAACACTAATGCAAAGTTGTTATTGGCGGAACGATAAAGCGCTTTTCAGGCAGTATTTCATTTTGACAACTGATCCATTGTCAGCAAAACGATATTTTGTTAGTAGACCGGTATTTTACTGGTAGACCGGTTCCATCTATGATTACAGTAAAACTATCAAATCGTTTTGAACATCGAAATCTCTGTGGTCAGATCAAGAAAGTATCAAGAGGTGGATTTTCTCGGATTTTTGGAGTCAACTAGGGAGATATGATTCAGTTTCGTGTTCGATTATTCAATTTTTATCTACAATCATGTCACGGGAAGGTTCCTTAGTGATAAAAGAGAAGTCTTAAATAATTTGGGTAGCGATTCAGAATTCGATATGACTGATATTAGACGAGAATAAATGTGGAAACTTCGGATTTCATCCGAGAGTTATGTGTACTGCAAAAAGTGCAAGGGATATGTGAGTCATTCGAGAATGTCTGAACACCAAAATTATCATGAGAAACTAGGCAATTTGGTTTCTG